TAGATGTTGCTGTGGGGAACCCTCCAATATATACTGAATACGACAGCTAGACTGGACATTGAGCTGGTAAACGATTAATAATATGAATCATGGAAATCAATAGAGTTTAAGTTAACCTTCAAATTAAGATACATTAGCAAAACAGTCAATTATTTACGTAAAATTTTTGCTATTTATTTGTGTAAAATTTACGTAAAACGTAAATTTTACGTATTTATTTGTTTATTTTACATAAAATTTATTTACGTTAAACAGTCAATAATATCTGATCTGCTAACCCCCTGATTTATATATTACGACGTACTACAAGAAAATAACTACGTATAAGAGCATCTGTAATCCAATAACCTATGTACCACACTGCTTAATGAAGTACAAGTTACGTTGTTAACTGCCACTTTGAGCAGATGTGACACGTGTATTCTGAATTAATTAGCAAACTAATTATCATTGTTACCATGAATCAAATCAATGGATACTGGTACAAGCCAGAGAGGTGACTAATCAGCAACAGGTAATGAGGATGCCCGAGTTCCAGGCTGCTTATTGACTGATTATCTAACACTTGTATTCTATTCACTTGAGCTTGACCAGTTGGCTCTGGTATAATGGTCGTCAGAAACTGATGTTTCATTTCATGAACACATCACCGCGATGATGCTAGAAGTTCACTAAGCAATTATGGCATGAAACTTACGGCGAAAATTTCACTTTAAAAATATAGGTCGACGTTAGGTGGATATAATTAAATAATATGTTAAATACTTTGATCGTTCAAAGCTGTTTGGTACAACCATAATATTATGACTATATGGCGTAAAATCAGCGTGTAATTTTTCTAATCTTTGACTATTCTTTAACTGTCTTCTTTACGCTCGTCTTTTCATTCTTTCAACGATATAAATGTCACAGCTTTATAGCAATCTCGGTGCAAAACTTCGTGTAAATCTGAATCAATATTTTCTAAAGCAAAACTCACATACAGTACATGCAAATCAAACAGTTCACTTTGAATGAATAATCCTGATAATTATACATGGAAATATCCTTATAATTATTGTCTGAACAATATTATATAAATAAACAGTATCTATATTCATGCACGAGGTTTATAACGGAATACTATTACATTGCAATTGATATATAGGAAATTTTTCACATAGGTTATGTCCACTAGAGCTCGAGTTGACCGTGGCTCTTAACAGCAGGTGTGTTCAACACCTGCTCCGTGGTACAGGTGTTCAAACGTCGATCTAACTTGAAACTTTACCTTACCTTCCTCCCGAGTTCACTAAGTCAATAATTCCGACGGATTCAACTTGATACTTTACCTTACCTTCCTCCCGAGTTCACTAAGTCAATAATTCCGACGTAGTTACACTTTCCTATTCACAAGTTTTGTTACCAAGAGCGATGACCATTGATTTTTAAACTAATTATTTTTTAACGAGGTAATTTTGGATGCGAAACTAAACTATTGAGTTGAATACTTAAAAACCATGATTGGGTAGAATACTGTGTAATATGCATACGTTCAGAATACATATTCATAGACAGTATATTTGCATAAGGCATATTCATTTATTGTGCTCACAAATACTGCACGAATTTATTACTCATAGAATGTATGCAATATTCCACACAAACTAACGGCAGAGGCGGGTTCAATGAATATTATGCATGCTTGAGATTTATTCAATGTTTGTTTGCTTCCTTTTTGACGTCTTTTGTTGCTATGGGCGTAGTAAAGCAAACAAAACCGAGCTATCTGCATTCCACTGTTATCCAGCATTGAGAATATGCTGAGTCAAATTGAATTAAAATATGATAAGTCAAGTTGAATTCATTTCATAAGTAAACTTTAATTCAATAACAGATTTCCGTTATTTATTATTATTGTTATTCAGAGAAGCAACTCAATTAATTAAAGGAAAGCCCGAAATCCAAGACTAAGTTGAAAGATCCAAGATTTAATCTAAGATTAAAATGCACTCAGATCCCAGGCTGGATTTTAATCGAATGTATTGCTATGATTAGAATTTAGTTTTAACCGAGCTTGAAACTAGACCTTTTACCATGCATGTGACGACTTTTCAGACTGGGCTTGAGACTGGGCTCAAGACTAGACTTGTAATATGCATGTGACTGCGCTTCTGACTTGGCTTAAGACTGGGCTTGAGACTACACCTGTGACTATGTAAGTGATGCTCTTCAGATTGGGCTTGAGACTAGGCCCATGACTATACATGCAACTGTCATTCAAACAAGGCTAGAGACTGGTGCTTTATTTCTTTTTACACTCTGACAACCACAGCACTGACCTAACCATAAAAAGTGACACAACGCTGTCCTTAAATCGCTAGTTTAACTAAAGTCACTTTCTGTTAGCTTTAAAACACTGATGAACACATCGAAACAGTTATGTGAACATCATTTAATTTGTATTCAATTAAGCATTTTTCAATTATTTTAATTTAATTTAATTTTTCATTTAATTTTAACAAATTTTTGAATGATTTCATAGGTCTGTTTAGTCTGTTAATCCTTGCATGAATGCGCAGTAAGGTTGATTGTGCAACTGATTTATTAAGATGTTTGATATAACTATATTTATATATGTTAATTCATGTAGAGTCATTCAAAATTCTCGTTACGTGATTTTATAGCATAAAAATTCGGATGAAAATCTTACATTTTTTAGTATTCCATCTCATAACTATTTATAAAGACATCTCTCTATATCGAAAAATATCAATGGTAAAGTACCAATGATGAATTATCAATGGCAAAGTTGTGAGAAATTCCTCATTTCCCACCGTCAATTTGTGTATATGCTAGGGTTTAGTTACGGGATCTATTTTTGGCTTGGAATTGCTTAGAATTCCGCTTCTCTAACTTCATCTGAAGAAAAAGTATTTAGTCGAGATCAGGGGTTTGGCCGCGGGTCTAAGGAGTCTTCATCATCATTAGTTATCAATTGCATCAAAATGATATTTGCCGACAGTGCCTGTCCAAAGTTATACCGCCATCAAGCAGTGTTCAAAGTCTGTTCAAATTGATTATTCATAATTCAAAACCTTAACCGCTGTTTTTGAACCGGTGAACAAGTAACTTCAACCGAAGTTCAAGTATTTCTACCATCTTGCTATGATCCCTGTTTCTCTATCCCTTGGTTTGTATGAATGTCGTGTGAATTTCGTTTTGTTTATTTATTTTTGCTCTATTAAATTCAATCCGCTATTTTCCTGTATTATTCGACCTTCAAAAAGTGATCACCACACTGGGCATTTAAACCTCAGGTTTGTTTTTTTCTGTACAAATAAATTCACATTTTTTATGATTTATTTTTGGCTATAATTTGCTACCTCGTAATTTTCGCAAGATTTATAATTCGAATTCATTTCTTTACAGTATACCTTAATCCGATCCCGAGACTGGCTGGCCTTAATTTTTTTGTACGTCACGCATTCGTCACCACTTTCTTTCATCGAGTGACCAACCAGCCATCTTCACCTTCACGTTCCCATATACTGAAGATTACACTTTTGGATTCGGTGCTCATTGACTGAATATTTTCGCCATTATTATGAAGACGAATCATTCGAACTCAAAGTCAAGATTTTGTTTGATAAATTAAAGTAAAAGCTTCCTTGATTATTTCTTTACTTTGACACCCTTTCGATTGTGTGAATACCTCACAAAGTATTCACGAAAAATTGATCAAAAAATCATTTATTTTTTAATTACTTCATTCAAGATTCCTTTGACAGTAAGAAAGAGGCGGCTGAATGAAAGGTCTGAATCAAACAATGGATTATAAGACTACTAAAGCAATTTTGTAGTTAATGAGAAGTATGTGAACTGCTTGATACTTATATTGTCGAGAAACTACTTCATAAAAGATTAATATTTGCTATCGCCAAAACAAGAATTATCTATAGGCTACTGAAATATTTGGAGAAATCGACACATTTAGCCTGTAATTTTATTAGGCCTCTCCAATTCAAACGTTTTATGTTAATTTTTCTAAGATCTGTTTCTTTGTGCTAGATAATTGCTATTGAAATTTCGTTAATGATTTGGTGTTCGCAATGAGATACTTAAATGTTTGTTTTCAGTTCCGTAGAGTTGAACAACAGCAACATCCTGCTGAAGAAAACGAGCAGTCATAGTTAGAAAACGAATCGTCGCTCGACGGCAACAAATGAAGCCTCGGTCAGTATAGTAGAAAATATAGCATATAGATATCAGCGTTAATTAGTCCGATCTAACGGTCACTGAACCTGAACATAATTGAAATTTTACAGCATTTTTGGATCTCGAACACACAACTCGGCCTTTACGCCGATTTGACCAAAAATGCTGCAGGTAGCTGGGATCGAACCCATACTTTACGGCACCAACCTTGGTACTCTGAACTGTTACTCAAGAGTAATGGCCTTTACGTAACCATTTTCAATGTGAGGCCATTTCGAGTAATTTTAGTCTCTGAGAAATATTGTTAACTTTGAAGTTGACATTTGCAGCCGTCAGTCGATTCATACGGCAATTTTTTCGTTCCTTGCTTTTACGAGGTCTTTTGTACATATTGAATGCCTAATTCGATGCGCTGAATATTTTTACGACAAAAACGTGAATTTCTTTGTTAAAAAATTCATGAAAACTTCTTTGAATTTCCTTACAGAATTAATCAATAAAATTTCCGAAATTGAACATGATACAGAATCAACAATATAATATCCCAATTATTTTTTGACGCCTGATTTTGTTTTTCATAATTTGTTGAAGATTTTGGTAAGCAAATATTTCAAACTTATTTCTCACATAATACTAAAGAATGGGTAGTATTTGTAGAACGAAGGGAAAAATAAAATGCATTTTAGAATTAATTGTATAACATTTTCAAACACTCTGTCAATACAAATAATGAGAAAAACTTTCAAATAATGTACCATAGAGCAAGAAAAAAATTTACTAAGAACTGGCAAATAATGTAGAACAAAATTTCAAATCGCTTTAAAACAGAAAATTAAATTTCTGTAATTATTTAGGCAAATTTAACCTTTGTCAAAACGATCGGATTATAAAACAATGAAATGATTTATAGAGTAACATCTGAGATAAAAATTGTACCATAAAGCAATGATAGGAGTTTTATATGTAGAAAAAAGTGCCATAGGAGTTAAAATTCGAAAAAATTATGTGTAAATTCATACCAGACATGTATTTATTTATAGCACTTTCGGGTTTGAGTTTATAAAGTTATTATTCCTCATAAACACTTTATTCATGTAGTTAATTTTGAGTCTAGTTCAAAATATTATAATGTGCTCCTAAATGCTTGTCTGGAACGATTATAAACTTGCAAAAGTATTTAATAAATGGATTTACTAGTATAATTCGTGAAAGATTTAAATACTGCGCAACTAGTCGTGGAGAAAATACACGCTTTACGATTTTCGCGATAAATTTTCATTTAAGTGTACGAGTTGGAAAGCTTAGTTAATTAAATACGAATGTTGGAAAATTCATACAAGAAGGCAAAACGGTCAAAATTGTACAGAAAGAGGCGAAGAAGAAAATGTGTACTCAACATAAACCTTAAGTTATGAACATCTACAATTATACAAAACATATTAATACTTAGAATGTTCTACGCCAGATGACGGCTAAATAATCTTAACATTATATACGAACTTATAAAGATGTAATAAATATAATGAAGCTAACAGAACTTAAAGCATTCGTGCGACTCAAACTGCTGCAGATCATATGTTCCAACAGGAACGAAAACGTTACTAGTTAGGATTTAAAACCTTACTAGTGCGGAACGAGAACTTCACTAGTATGGAACGAGAACCCAACTAGTGAGGAGCGAGAACCCAACTAGTGAGAAACGTGAACTCAACAAGTTAGAAATACGAATTCAACTAGTTCTGAACCAGAACATAACTTGTTAGGAGCGTGAACACAACTAGTTAGAAATGAGAACCTCATAAGTTCCACACTTGATTTAAATATTGAACACACTGTGCAAAATAAGAATATTTTAAAAGTGTTCAATCATCACAAATGTTGTTAAAATTTTACGTGGAAAGCTACTGAATGAAAACTCGAATCTCTAATTGGTACAGAATCAATTGAAGAAAATACATAGTAATCTGAACTCGTTTTCATATTGTTTATTGGACCAATTTCCTGATGTTTAAAACCAATTTATATTCCGGACAGACAAAGTAAACAACAGTTGTCGCACATTCAATGCAGAAATGCACAAAAATGCTAACCTCCATTTGAACTTTACGATGATTCATGATTCCCCATTATAAATTAGGTGAGCAGCATCATCATGACCACACATGATAATTAGAGCATTGGACGTTTCCTAACTACCGGCGAGGGGGTGAATCCCGTCGCCGATGGGTGTCGACATTGCGACTGAGGATGGACTTGAGGGATCGCACTTCTGTGGCCAACCTCTGGACTTCAACTCGCAGCTGCTGTTCGCTGTCGCAGTCCATATCCTCTGTGGAGCCTCTGTTGGATGAGGGATAACTGGGTCGACCCGAGAGCGGCGGTGACGAAGCAATACTGATACCAGAATCACGGTCATCTGAAGAACCTGGAGACTCTTCTCCTATCTCCCGCGAAATTGGTTCACTTTTAATGGGGTACAGAAGGTGAGTTGCAGGCGGAGATGTGGACGATCGAGGAAGGGAACTCTGGGCGCTCATCATCAGATGAGACGTTGAGTTCTGGTAGAGATGAGGTGATGTGGCCGGCATCTGATCATGTTGATGTGGTGACATCGATAAAGGCCTTCCAATTGGGAACGAGTTGCTGGACATGGAATGCGTGTTGTGTTGTTGATTCTTGTGTCGAAGTTTGTGAGGTAGACTTGACCCAGCAAAATCAAGGGAACGATTCTGCTCGTAGCAGAAATTCAGTGAATTCGGCGACCGAGTCGTTCTCGATGAGAGGTTTAGCGCTGTTGATTCGTACATGTGGAGGGATTCGGAGGGATACGCGTTCAAGGATTGTGAAGGTTGAGAAGACTGCATGGGTAGGTCTCTTGGATAATAATCCGGACTGTGAGATCGTGCATTGCTATGCGGAGGTGATGACAAGGATTGGTCCATGTGATGGTGCTGGTTGTACTGAGGTACAGCAAACTGGTGATCATCAGAATGGTTGGATTGAGATTGAGGTGCTGGTGAAGTCGATGGAAGGGAAGATGGTGACAGAAGCGAAGTTGGTGAGCCCACAGACAGGATAGAAATATTTGATCTTCTCGTTAATGACAAGATTTGCTCGGCTTGGGGCATGGTGGCCAAAACCTGTTCTTCGTTTACCAAGCCCTCTCCCTTAACATGGAATTTGTTTTCGAGAGCGTTAAGTTGCGCTCTCAAAATGTGATTCTCTTTCGAGAGTTCAATGACCCTTTGCTCCAAGATCATGTCATTAAAGCGCCTCTTTTCGCGTGACCGTTTAGCAGCTTCATTGTTTCTTCGCCGACGATCCCAGTAAGATTCATCCTTCTTGTTATCAGGTATAAACTCTCTTTGTTTTCTCTGGGCGAAAATCGAATCTTTTAGCATTGGTGCGGCAGCGCCAATCATTCCGCCGGCACCCAAACCGGACGGAGTGGATCCGAGATTTGCACCCTGTGAAGAACCACTTCTTCCTCGTGCCGAGTGGCTTCGTTCCATCATGGGGGAGGATTGTGGTGGATAAGGCTGTACTAGGGACTGTGGTAGGAGACTAGGACCACATGATGATGTGGTGCAGGAATAGTTGAGGCCTTGCTGCGTTAGTGGCAGCAGCGCGGGGTACGGATAATTCTTCACGGTTTCAGCAACCATGATTTCACGCTGAAGAACGTCTGCAAAAGAAGAAAGAAAAACATTAGCGTCAGTTATTTTATTTCCATTTGATATTTGTGTATTCTAGTCATAAAAAAGATTAATGCCATCTCCAGTTCTCTGTCATGATATAATAAACTTGGTATGTCGCAAAGAACCCCGCCTGGAAAGAAGAAACACCTCGAGAATAATAAATAATGTTAGGAAATAATTCGAGGTTTTCGCCGTATTTCCTTAACAAAGAAAAGTTTAGTAAACGAATTACTAGAACATACCATAAATATTTCAAAATTAAAGAGCATTACATGAAAGTTCTCTGGGAAGCGTTGTCTAAATAACGATGAGCTACCGGAAGCGGTCCGTTAATACCGGAACTGCGGCAGCCAAAAGTGAAGTTGTTATTGGAAGTATCGAAGCGAGACTTACAAGCGTTATGTAATTCTTGCTCTATGATATTTATTTACTAGCTAGTGACTTGTATGTTGCTAGGAAACCAAATCTAGAAGTAAATCATAATGAAATAAAATAACGTGTATATAGTAGCATTTTAACCGAGGAAGCGGGCAGCGTTTTAATAAATTTACATTTAAATTCAGTGATGCAAAAATTAACGACAATAATTGACAAGACGATACAATAATAAAATCAAGACGCAACAATATTGAAATCAAAACGATACAACAATATAATCAAGACGATACAATATTAAATTTAATCTGTTCAATTAAATAAAGATGCAGAAGTCGTGAGGTTTTGTGAATAAAATCAAGCCACTGTTCGTAAAATCAAACCAATTAAAATCAAGACGATACAATAATTTAGATCAAGACGATACAATATTAAAATCAAAACGATACAACATTATAATCAAGACGATACAATATTAAATTTAATCTGTTCAATTAAATAAAGATGCAGAAGTCATGTAGTTTTACGACTAAATTCAAACCATAGTTCGTAAAATCACAGCAATGAAAATCAAGCTAACGGCCTTTGCTGCGATTGCGCAGAGCCGCGGCGCGGGAGCATCGGCCGGCGACGACATGAACAGATACGGTCTTATTTCTCACGAGTATCTGCGTACGGGCGTACGTGGGAGAAAGTTTACGTGCACTCAGAATTGAGTTCACGCAGGGAGGGGGTGAGAAAAAATGAGAGCAAGGGAGGGGGGGTGATTAAATGGGGAGGGAAGTAGGGGTGATTAAAGAGGGGGAGACTTGTGAGAAAGTCTGTGAGAAGAGTAAGTGTGAAAGTCGGAAGTGAATTAAAGAGTTGAGTGAAAAGATGGGATTGGGTGAAGTGATGATAGTGAATACGTTCAAAAAATAAAGCAAAAAGAGATGCCAAGGAATTGAACGAGGATTAGTATTGAAAAAGAGATCATGAAGAAGGTAAGAAGGTAAAAAGTAAGAAAATTAAACAAGAATAAAATTGATGACGGCAGCTCTTAATTGTGACGTAAGAAAGCAAACAAGTTAAGATAAAACAATAACACAAAAACATATTATCACGGGGAACAAATAGAGTAAGTTCAATCGCAATCGAAAGAGTTCAACTCGTTAGTTTAATTATAAGTATTAAAGTGCGATAGCAAGCCTTACATATTTTAGCTGACCTTTAATGGTAATATGCTTGTCAAGCTACCACATAACTAGAACTATAGCATGTAGCTGGCCTAGTGTAACACCGTTACAGTTCGACATAAAGCATGCCTACTGCATGTAGCTACAGCTTGGCTTGTAATGTAACATGCCGAATGTAACACCGTTACAGCTTGGCATGTGGCATGCTTATGTAGTTACAGCTCGAATTGTAATGTAACATGCGGAATGTAACACCGTTACAGCTCGGCATGTAGAATGCCTAGTGTAGTTACAGCTCGACTTGTAATGTAACATGCCTACTGTAGTTACAGCTCGGCTTGTAATGTAACATGCGGAATGTAACACCGTTACAGCTGCGAAATGTAACACCGTTACAGCTCGGCACGTAACATGCCCAAAGTAACACATTATGTACCATAAATATAACCCGTTACCAGGCCATGGTAACACTCACTTTGCATGACGGCAGTCATTATGCATGGACGTAAAAAGTTTCAACACAACAGCAACAAAACATCAACTTGTGGCGCGCGAGAAAACGCTTGCTGGAGGTCGTAACCTTGAATTGCTGATCTCTAGAGTATCTTGAAAGATAATCCTAATGTGTTTATCTTTATCTTTAGTTCACTCTTGTACAACGACGAAGATTACGTAAGATATAAATATATTTATACAATACAATATCACCTCATTTATTGTTCTGGCTTCTGAAAAAAAGTTTGACATTGATTAGTTAAGTTGTACAAAATAATTTTTTTTACCAAAAAATTAATGAATGACTTTCAATATTTTGCTGGCACACATGTATTAGAAATTTATGTTGAACTTCAATTTTTTAAAAAGAAAAAAAACTTTCATCTCAAGCACAATACTCATAGATCGCAACGGCATAAACTCGAGTCTTGTGAAAAATTTCTATCAAATTGATAGAAAATATTAAATTTCGATGCATCTTATTTTTACGTAGTACAAATATTTTTACACTTTTTTAGAACAATATTGTGGCGTCAATTTGTGTAACTTGACAAAGTGTGTGAAATTTTCTCCGATAATTAAATTATATTTCCTCCTAAACCCTTCTTCGCTCATGAACGTTTAATTACTTATTAAATTTTTAAGCTCGTACCTCACTCATGTTTAAAACAATTTTAATTATAATAAGCTCGTACCTCACTCATGTTTAAAACAATTTTAATTATAATAAGCTAGTACCTCACTCATGTTTAAAGCAATTTTAATTATAATAACAATAAAGTTAGTTTTTTAGAGCGATCTCTCGCAGTGACCGAGGTTTTGCGCGGCTGTGTAAGGTCAAGCTTGTGTTTTGCAATAGGTCAATCGGGGTCATGTCAAGCAAGGTCACCTCCCTTAATACGAGCAGCGAAACCAAAGTCAAGGACAGTGCTAGGTTTCTCTTTAGGTTGGACTAGAGTTCTAGAACAATAACAAGGGCGGTTCTGTGTACAAGTGTTCTAGAACAATAACAAGGGCGGTTCTGTGTACTAGTGTTATAGAACAATAACAAGGGCGGTTCTGTGTAGGTACTAGTGTTCTAGAACAATAACAAGGGCGGTTCTGTGAGGTTGTTTTCTAGAACAATAACAAATAAGGATGGACCAGAGTTCTAGAACAATAACAAGGGCGGTTCTGTGTACTAGTGTTCTAGAACAATAACAAATAAGGGTGGACTAGAGTTCTAGAGTAATAACAAGGGCTTTTCTGTGCACTAGTGTTCTAGAACAATAATAATTAAGGGTGGCCTAGAGTTCTAGATTAATAACAAGGGCGGTTCTGTGTACTAGTGTTCTAGAACAATAATAATTAAGGGTGTACTAGAGTTCTAGAACAATAACAAAGGCGGTTCTGTGTACTAGTGTTCTAGAACAATAACAAGAGCGGTTCTGTGTAAAAGTGTTCTAGAAAAATAATAATTAAGGGTGTACTAGACTTCTAGAACAATAACAAGGGCGGTTCTGTGTACTAGTGTTCTAGAAAAATAACAAGGGCGGTTCTGTGTACTAGTGTTCTAGAACAATAATAATTAAGGGTGGACTTGAGTTCTAGAACAATAACAATGGCGGTTCTGTATACTAGTGTTCTGGAACAATAATAATTAAGGGTGGACTAGAGTTCTAGACAAATAACAAGGGCGGTTCTGGGTACTAGTGTTCTGGAACACTGTTGAACCTACACTGTACAGAGGTCAGTAATCTCATCCTATGGTTGAAATGTTAATAAATTTAATTTTTATGATATATAAATGGTTAACTTTTAAATATTTTCAAACTTTGGTGGTGCTCGGCTTAGAGAGCATATTAACATGGTAGCCGTTGTAAGGCATATATTATTTTAAATACTAATACTGAATCAAAATTTTAATAACTTTGAATTAAAATATATAATTTTCCATCTGTATTTGCCTCAATGGATGAAAAAAAAAGTTTCGGTAGGAGCTGAATCTTGGCTGAATTCAATTATTTAAATTATTAATAAAAATTTTAAACTTAACAGGTGGAGTAAAATTGTTAGAGCTGTCGAGCTGATGTACAAGAATAATTGAAGAAGGCCTCTAATTTTCAACGAAATTGTTGCTGTACTATGGCAAATGACGTATTATGAGAAAAAAATGGTTTCCCTATCGTTGTCTCATCCTAGCGTTAAGATATAATTTTCGTGAAATTTTAAGTCAGTCATTCAAAGTCAATGATAATGATGTCACCGAAGTCTTTCACAACCCAAGTCCTGTTGTAAAACATAAAATTTCACAATAGTTAAATCTATACAAATGTTCTAACATCTTATTAAATACAAATCTAAATTGTATAGCTAAAGAGTTTATTTCATCCGACCAGGAAGCAGTTCAATAAATTAAAACAAGTTTTAATTAAATGGAAAGCACTTGACATTGTCACTCCACTGTCAATGTTACGGAACAGCGCCTCAGGCTCGAGTGAGCTTAAGAGGAGTCGCGTGTGACATGCACCCACTACGACGGCCTGAGACACACTGACGGGAGCGGTGTGACTCGCAGCGCTGAGATGTCGGACGACAATGAGTCGTCCGCAGGAGAATTCTGTTTTCTAACGCCGGATACGGTGACTATGGAGACATAGCAACCAATGAATGATTCAAGAAACCAAGAACCTATATAATATTTGTAATAAAATGCCTTAAGGATCTTAAAAATAAATTTTGTTATAATAAAATTTCGAATATCTAGATTAAATTGCGGACGAGATTAAAATTTAAAACTTAAATACCCCCACGGACACTAGAAAATTCACGATGGGTTGCTGAGTGGCACGCAACCGTAGGCATACACAAATATTGTTGGGGTGGTCGCTAGCTCGGCGTTGAGCTGGTCATGATTGGTTTGTGGTGTTCAACGCGTGATTGGTGATTGGCAGATGCATGTG